CAAAAAATGATTCTCAATTTATTGCAAGAAATTCCTCTCAATTCAAACCGTACATTTCAAAATAAACATTTTTTTGAAAAAATTCTAAAACCGTTATTTTAATTGTTTGATACAATTCTAACCGAGTAACTCTACTGAGTTTGAAAAACAATCTTATTTTATCAAATAATCTAAAACAATGAGTTCAATTGGTTTTAGATGGAATGTATCTCCCTCGAAACCTAGTAAAATGTATATAATATTGATGATGGGATTTTTTTTTTGTTTTTTTTATGTTATTTTTAACTATGTAACAAAAAATATTAAAATAAATTTCAACGTTACATAAAAGATTTATGAAAATTAGAACGATCTTAGTTTGGGGATGCATTCTATGCTACAATGTTCCTACAATATTTATTGTAAGAAACATGCATCTTTAAACACTAGCCAAAAAGTGTCTTATATCTTATTTGCATATTTATGAAAAGGGTATAGTTTTTAATTATCAAAATTGAGATTCAAATGCCACACACACACACATATATATATATATATATATATACATGCATACATATATATATAGAGAGAGCGATATAGAAATTTACAAGAGGACAAGCAAGGAACGACTTTATTTTCAAATTTGGAAGAGAGAAATGGGAGTGGACAACCTCTAATCACATCCCCTCCTACTCCACCACCAACTCCATCTTTAGATACTTCCGAGTTCCGACTGTTATACGTTGATCCGCAATTTCTCGAATGAAATTTACCAGAAAACTCTCACGATTATCAACTTACGTACACTTGTATGAACGAAATTGAAACAAGGCAGAGATTAATGAGTTCAGAGAATCCTTGTGATCTTCCTACGTTTGAACCAGGACTGCGTCAGTCACGAGCCAAAATCACTATCTCTTGAGCAAGAATTACAGAGTGTTTTGAGTACAAGAGGAAAAACTTGAAAAACAAGAAGTGCCGAAGACTGAGCTCCTTTACCAACCTTTATACCCAGATTCGAGCTCTTGCAGAATCAAGAATAAGCCGCGGTGAATGACTGAATTGCCCTTTGAATGTATACGCTGCGTTTCAATCATTCCTTAATTTGATCCAAACCTTCTTTATCAGTTAGAGACTTCCCTTTCTCCTTCATCTCTTGTACTCAAGTCTGAGAAATCTTAGGCAATCTTCAGCCCCATCAAAATCCACATTTGACGAGATTTCTCCCTTGCTCTTAGGCTTGTCCCTCCTTTAATGCCTTTTGGCTCACGAGTCCTGGTTAACGTCCGCTGTCATTAGGAGCTTGACAGCATAAGCAAGCTCAGAGCTTGCTTAAACTTAAGTACTGGGACTGTTTTTGTGAATATATTTGCTGGGTTTACTTCAGTTGATATCTTCACTACCTTTAATCTTCCTTGCGTGATAACCTCCCTTATGAAGTGATGTCTCACGTCTATATGCTTCGTTCTTTCATGAAAAACATTGTTCTTGGCTAAACAAATTGCTGACTGTGAATCACAATGGATCTCCACCGAACCTTGATCAATACCAAGCTCTTCCAGCAATCCCTTTAGTCTGTCAACTTCTGCTTTGTCCTGTGATGCAACTAACATATCATCTACACAAAGCAATAAGTAGACCTGAGCTCCACCTTTTGATGTTTTGTAGTAGACACATGAATCAAATTGACTTCTGTTAAAGCCAATCTTGTTCATAAAATCATCAAACCTTTTGTTCCACTGTCGAGGGGATTGTCGAAGCCCATAGAGTGATCTTTCTAACCTGCATACTCTGTTCTCGTTCCCCTCGCTTATGAAGCCTTCTGGTTGTGACATATAAATCTTTTTTTCGAGTTTTCCATGTAGGAAGGTTGTCTTTACGTCCAACTGTTCAAGCTCCATGTCTAATGACACCACAAGTGACAACAAAACCCGTATTGACACATGTTTCACTACCGGGGAGAAAATCTCCTGGTAATCAATTCTTTCTCGTTGAGAATATCCTTTTGCAACCAACTAAGCTTTGAACCGTGGTTTCTCAACCCCTGGAGTACCTTGCTTCCTTTTGTAGACCCACTTACAACCTATCACCCTCTGTTTGTTTGGTTTAGATACCAGTTTTCAGGTTTCATTCTTGTGCAGTGAGTCCATTTCTTCCTGCATAGCTGCTTCCCAAAGTTTCCAGTCTTTGCTTTCTCGAGCTTCAGAATAGCTTCTTGGTTCTTCAGAATCTATTCCTATAGCTATATTCAACGCAAAAGAGACAACATTACTACTGTTAGTGTTAGTTTTGTACCTTACTGGAGGCTGTATCCGTCTTCTTTCTCTATCCCGTGCTAGTTGATAACCCTCCAGGTTTTGTGAGTCATCAGCCCTTGAATTTTCATGATCACTATCTTCACATGAGTCTTCTGAAGGTTGATCCCTCTGTTCCTGGGTTCTAACTTCGTTTTCTTCACTAGCTCCACCTTGAAGTGTATCCCTTAATGCTTCTTCTCCTGAATCCAGCCTAACTTGTATGGTGACAGGGACTTGATCATTATCTTCTATCTGTCTGGTAATTCTGTACTCTTCATCGGACTTTAGGTCCTTATAGACCATGTCTTCTCGGAAGATAACATCTCTGTTTATGTGGCATTTACCCTCGTCTAGTAACGAGACCTTGTATCCTTTTATGCCTCTAGGATAGCCGATGAATATGCCTTTAGTTGCTCTTGGTTGCAGTTTGTTCTGTTTTACATGAACAAATACAACACACCCAAATCTCCTAAGATAATGATAACTTGGTCTTTTCTCAGACCATACCTGTTCAGGAACTTGGAAGTCCAGTGCACTTGATGGAGATTTGTTGATCAAATGAACTGCTGTGGCTGTTGCTTTTGCCCAAAACTTTTCTTCCAAGCCAGTTTCACTTAGAAAACATCTCACCTTGTCCATTATTGTCCTGTTCATGCGCTCAGCTATCCCATTTTGCTGTGGGGTTTAGACGCAAGTTATGTGCCTCTCGATTCCGTTGTTTCGGCAAAATTCATTAAACTGGTTGTTGCAAAATTCCAGTCCATTGTCTGTCCGCAAACACTTTAGTCTCTTGCCTGTCTGATTTTCTATCGGTGTCTTCCAATTTGAAAAACTTGCAAATGCCTCATTCTTGTTTCTCAGAAAGTAGACCCAAACCTTTCTTGAGTAGTCATCAATAATCGAGAGGAAATATTGTGACCCTGACAATGATGGAGTCACTGTGGATGATCCCCAAAGATCCGAATGGACATATTCTAGTATGCCCTTTTGTGGAATGATTTGTTGTTCCAAAGCTAAGACTGTGTGTTTTACCTAATACACAGACTTCACAGAATTCCATTTTTTCTACCTTGGCCTTCTGTAAGTAACCTTTCTTGACTATGAGTTCCATGCCTTTTGGACTCATATGTCCCAGTCTCTTGTGCCATAAAATTGTCTCGTCAGAGCTTGTGCTAACACTGTGGGCTGCTCCCACAACTGTCTCTCCTTTTAGAATATAGAGTCCTCTGTCCAATATGCCAACCATGATTACTAGCGAGCCATTCATCACTTTCAGTTTACCTCCTTGTGCTTTGTATGTCAGTCCTTGAAGATCCAGCGAACCTAATGAGATTAGATTCCTTTTTAGCTCAGGAATATATCTCACATTCTTTAGAACTTTCACTGTATTGTCGTGGGTTCTAATCCTTACAGTTCTTGTTCCTCTGATTTGGCATGAAACATTGTTTCCCATGAGTACCTTCCCACAGTCTTGAAGTGTTAGGTTTTCAAACCATTCTTCTCTTGGGGACATGTGAAATGTGCATCCTGAGTCCAACACCCACTGCTCTTTAGGTTCCAAATCTGAGATGCTCAGTACTTCAGTTTCTAGAATTGACTGGGTAACTGTTGCTGCTTCGCCGGTTTCTTTGGCCTGTTCTTCGAAATGCTTCTTTCTCGATCTGCAATCTCTTTTGAAGTGACCTTCTTTCCCGCAAAACCAACACCCTGTTTCTGACTTACTCCTTGATTTGGACCTTGATTTCTTCCTTGATTTATTCCCTGTTGAGTTCCTTTTTTCTGATCTTCCTCTAACTACAAGCCCTTCTGCAGTAGCTCTCGTCCCTTTTGCTGCAAATTCCAGCTCTTTGGAATATGCGGCACTTGTTATTTCATCCACGGTGATAGTCTCTCTTCTGTTGTACCTGAGAGTATCCTTTAGCTGGTCATATTGGTCTGGCAGAGAATTCAACAGAATCAGGACTTGGTCTTCTTCTGCGACCTCTATTTTCAGATTCGAGAGATCATTAACTAGTTTCTTGAAGACATCAACATTGTCTTCTATTGACTTTGTAGCATCCATCTTGAAGCCTATTAGCCTTTGCTTGAGATACATCTTGTTTGGAAGTGATTTAGCCAGTTCCACCACGACTTTTGCTGAAATTAAGACCCGCGAGGAAAGAGCACAAAAAATGTATTAGAAATTTCCAAATGATAACAGCTCATAAAAATTGGCTTTTGGACATAAACTTTACAGAAAACATAGTTTGGGGAGATATGTCCTTAAAAGAGACAAGATGAGAGCAAGTAACCAACTCACCACCCCAACACATCCCTGCTGCTCCAATAGAAGTTATGCCTTTGCTCTTCAAGGCTTCAACTATTGGCTTTGAGTCCTCAAATCCCTTATCTTGTACGATCAAATGAACAAAATTTGTCAAACAACGAATGTTAGCAAGAGTCTTCAAGTGCTTTTGAGGGTTCGGGTTTTTGTAACCAAAATTTTGATCCTTTCGTGCATTCCATTGGATGAAATACCAATCCCCATTACAATAAAAAAGCACCAAAACCTCATATAGTCCACTCAGACAATGCATCTTGCAGTAAGTGTTAAGAACAAAAGCTAGAAGACAACTGCAAACAGAATCACTGGTTAGAGAAAGGAAAAGGAACATACTGCTCCATGGTCTTTTATCCAGACAGCGATAGGCCGGTCCTGATTCTTGGGATCATAAGGATCTCCATAGAAATAATCAGGAACCACCACATAGAATCCAGATTCTGCAACCTTATCCGCAAGTTTCCTTTGAGAGCAGGAGAAAACCGGGATCAACTGCCAGTAAAGTAAATCTATACAGTCAATCGACCACAGAGCACAGATACGGTGAAACTACGATAAGCTTCTAGTGAATGAATCTAGGAGTCCCAACAATTTTTTAGGAAACGAAAAGCATGAAGGTGGCTTAATAAACACATTCTACAACTATTTGAAGCCATTCAACAGAAATAATTTACGAATTTCACCATGTCCCGTAAAAACTAAAACCAGGAAGAACGTAAAATATCAAATACGGCGAAATCTTCACAGAAGAAGCTGAGATTCGGTTTCCCTCTGTAGATTACCCTAAGGGAGAATCTCGAGATACTTACACACCATGATACGAGGCAAATATCATCTGTTATAATTTTACACACCACTGGCTGTTATAGGAGTAAGATTTTTTGTTCTTTGACCTTCAAGATCATCAGATAGCCAATAAAAACCGCACGAACGTAGTTAGACACAACGAATCTAAAACCAAACTCATGTTTATTTGTACGTAGAGACAGAACCAAAGTCTGCAGCCATATAGTCAGACGAAATTCATCCTTTTCGAGTTAATCAAAGCAAAAGTTTCCGACTTTAACGAGAAACAAGATGACAAAACACAATCTAATGACCGAATCAAACGGATAAGAGCTCGTAGTACCTCAAGTTTGGAGCTTCATATCCTGTGGAAGCAATAGTTCAAAGAAACAACCAAAAGGTCAACAAATGAACACAAAAGAGAGGAATGTAAAGCAATAGGATCAAACTGATGCAGGACAAGATTCTAACACATCTCACTGAACCTAATTCTCAATGTAGAATAACGAAAAACTCAGGAATTAAGACTAACCTAATAACACTAATCGATTTATCCACCATTGATTCCCAAAAAAACCCAACTTTATACGAGAAAAACGAACAAAACTCTGAAATCGATAAACCCTATTGCAACTGGTACCGGATTGACAAACAAATCAGGAGATATCAGATGACAAGGGCAAAGTAATTTCCGGGCAAGAACAGAGAAAAACTGCAGCAGGGTTGAAAGAAGCGATCTGAAGAAGATGCGGGAAATTACCGAAAACATCAGAGACGAGAAGAATCGCGCGGGTCGAATCGGGCGAGCCAACGACATATGCATCGAGGCCACCGAGCTTCTCGACACGACCCGACCCGGATTTCGGATTCAGGGTTGGTGGGTTTTCGCAGCACTGAGGATCCGACATTTTTTCACCAGCTAGCGGAAACAGAACAGAGAAACCAAACTCAACCCACTAATGCGTTGTCTTGCTCTCCTCCATTTATATGAGCAATGGGTTTTGAGAATCTTCTGGTATATACGCTTCGCTCTGATGAACACACAAACTCAATTACCATAACAGATCGTATTAAAAATTAATTAATTTCTATGGAATTTTGTTTTTTTTTTTTTTTTGTGTATGTGAATAGTCGGACCTTCGATTTTTTTAAGAAATTATTATTATAGCATAGATAAATAAATTGATAAAACGAATTTTTTTTTTAAGAGTACAATATTTATTTTTTTGGGTAGAAGATATATTTTTTTAGGAGGTGAAGTTTGAATGGATAAGAACAATAGATAGATACCATTATCGATATTTCAGAGATTAATTCCCCAATCTTGAAATTAAAGAGTTTAATACTTAACCAATTCGGGATTTCCCCTTAGAATAATTAAGTCTTGGATCCATATTTCATCAAAACTTTTGGTCCGAGTTTTGTTAATTATGTTTAAAAGATATCGAATTTCACAATAAAGGGAGGAAAGAGAAAAAAAAAAACCCTAATTAACGTCTGATAATTAATTCCAATCTAAAACTTTTAAAAAGATAATATCCAAAAGACTCGAAACCATAATAAAACCTAACAAAAATAACGAAAGTAGGGTTTCTTCTGGAATGAAACTAACTAACTACGAGTTCGAACAAGACATAGAAGATGTCGATGATCAGACTTGTTCGACGGCAGCTGCCGTCTTGCGGGCGGCTTCATCGTCATCGTCCATGAACTTGGCCCAGACAGGATGAAGCTTCCAGACACGGTCGACCATGGCGTCGATGGGGACGTTCTTGGTCTCGGGCAAGAGGAAGAAGACGAAGAGAGCCATGAGGAGGATCCAGGCGGCGAAGAAGAAGAAGATGAAAGCTCTCATGCGACAGAGCATAGAGAGAAAAGCCTGAGCGATGATGAAGGTGCAGACCATGTTGGTGCTGACCGCGCATGCGTAGCCTTCGGTCCTCATCTCCAGCGGAAAGGTCTCGCTCGGAATCAGCCATCCCATCGGGCCCCACGACCACGCGAACGCTATCACGAACATACACACCAACACCACCACCACTATCCCCATCCCCACTGTCAGCGTGTTCGCCTCCTTCAAGTATCCCAGCAGCAGGCCCCCTATTGTCACCTGCATGCCCAGTTGTTCAATAGAACGATCAATATATAAAGTCTCCACCTTTACGTGAAATGCGATTAGGATCTTGAAAAAGTATCGATCTTTACGTGTTATGTCCACTGAATCGTGAAAACGCATGGATCTTTACGTGTTATGTCCACTGAATCGTGAAAAAGTATGGATCTTTACGTGTGATGTTTACATGTAAATATTTACCTGGGAGATGAACATGATGACGCAGGCGGCGAGGAGCAAGAACCGGCGGCCGGCCTTGTCGACGGCGAAGATAGCGAGGAGAGTGGCGAGGACGTTGAAAGCGCCGGTTATTACAGAAGAATAGAGAGAAGCTCCGCTCTTCATGCCGACTGTCTGAAATAGGACTGGAGCGTAGAACATGATGGAGTTGATCCCTGTAAACTGCTGAAACACCTGAAGCATCACTCCGATTACTAGCGGAGGCCAGTTCGAACGCTTCTTCGCCATCTCCCAGAACGATCCCTTCGCTCTCTCCGCCTTCTCGCACGCCTCTTTGATCTCCTCAAACTCCTCGTTCACTTCCTCCACTCCCCTAATCTTCTTGAGAGCCTCACGGCCCTTGGACTCGTGGCCTCGTTGGACGAGGCTCGTTGGTGTCTCCGGGATTACGAACGATCCGACGAAGAGAAGGACCGCCGGTAAAGCAGCCACACCGAGGGAGACTCTCCATCCGTGAGGGTGAAGGAACGAGGTGCCGTAGTTTACAAGATTGGCGATCAGGATGCCGATGGTGATGAAGAGCTGAAACATGATGTTCACCGAACCACGTCTCTTCACAGGAGCAACCTCCGACAGGAACAGCGGAACCGACTGTCGCATATACATAAAAATCAAGAATCTGAATCAGTAAATACACGAGAAGATCATCGATCGAAGATTCAAAAGGAGGGAATCAAGGGTTAGATACCTCGTTGCCGAATCCAACGCCGAATCCGAGGAAGATACGGCCGAAGATGAGCATCCAGAGGGACTGAGCGGAGGCACTGAGAGCGGCTCCGATGAGGAAGAAGATGGAAGCTAAGAGAATGGTGAGTCTCCGGCCGAACTTGGAGCAACACTTGGACGCTCCGAAGCTGGCAACGACCGCAGCAAGATACAGAGAGGAAGTGAACAGCTGAAGCAACTGGTCGTCGAATTTGCAGTAGTTGTTCTCCTTCGCGTGCATCTTCCTCTCGTACACCCTCGGGAAGAACTTTACCAGGAAATCATTCATCGCCGTCACTCCTCCTGCGATTAGGGTTTCGGTTACTTGCGTGGAAAGTAAACAGAAACAAAAGCAGTGTACAATAACTGAAGAAACCAGTACCTGAGATGCCGATGTCGTAACCGAACATGAGGCCTCCGCAGGCGGCGAAGCACCAGCAGAAGATGACGTAGATCGAACTCTTCGATGTCTGATCCGTCCTCATCTTTGACGTGAAAAATCTCAGAACACAATTGGAAAATCCTCAGAGCAGACAGTGAATGTGAGTTTGAGAAGAAGAAAAGAGATTCTCGACGGTTTCGATCGAGGGGTGTGTGGTCTTATTTATAAGAGGCTTTTGCCTGATTTGATCAGAATTTGGCTTTTAGGGTTTAAGCAAGGAAACGTACGTGGAGGATATTACAATTAGGAAACTAATTTTGATTAGGACTCCTAATTGCTCAAGGATTAAGAAACCTGATATGGATAGAGTTTGATAATAGATTTACAACATTATCTTCGTCACCCAATTATTTTTTTATAATTATATTTACCAAAAAAACATCCAAATTCAATTTTTTTTATATGTAATCTAAATTTGTTTTTTCCTTTTCCCTCTAAAACTGTAAATCCTAGGTAATTAATCTGCTGTGTTCATAAAGTTTAGTGTAACTAATTTACAAAGGAATGAATATTGCGAGTTATAAAACCTTTACAATTCCATTACCTAAATATATTTTTAGCTCAAGAGGAAATTAAGATAAATACAAAATCACAAATTAATTAGATATTTAAAGGCTAATTAATTGGATGTAACCATGATTCCAATTACAAAGACTGTTAAAATTTGCCATGAAAAGATTGTCTTCCGATTTCGAGCCGAATCTCATGTGAAAGCGATATTATTAAGATAGTGATTTTCGGTCGATCTAAATTCCATGATCCAATAACAAAAAAAAATTATGATTAATTTTAAACCGTTCGATCTAAATTACAGATTCTCTCTCTCTATCTCCTCCTCTACCTATGTATATCTTGAATATGTAATGGATGCTTTCATCTTTTATCACATACCAAATATGTGTATGCATATAATATAATCATCAATTATATGAAACAATTTATTTATTTTTCTATTTATCCATAAAAACAAACTTATTCTATTGAAAATAATAAAAACATAACATTTCTTATTATATGCAGACTATATAATACACCGCGATCGAAGAGTTCTTGATGCGATATTCCAATGGACTTGAATCTGTATTTCATCACAAAAAGACAAATCTCGTCGGATCTTCATCGGAGACGGGGGCCGGCTTATTAGACGTTAGTTACTTTGTTATGATCCTTGATTGTTATACAATCGGATCTGTTGCAGATTTCAGATTTATGTTTATCTCTTCCTAGTTTCTAGTATATCAGTTGTATTACTTCTGTATATATATCCTATACGTATGGGAGAATAAAGGAAGCCAAATATTTCTTTTGCCCATATCTCTGGAACTTCACATGGTATCAGAGATTTTCCGCACCCTCTTCCTTTGATTTTCAGCCCCATCTTATTCACATCTCCAGGTTTTTGGCTGTCTTTGTTACGTTTCTACTCTTCCTTCAAACCGTCATAAATTCGCTCCACGAGCCAAAGCTGCTGTATTTTTGGGATACCCTCATGGCACGAAAGGGTATAAGGTCCTCGACTTGGACTCTAATGTGGTTTCTGTTTCTAGGAATGTCTTGTTCCATGAATCAGTATTCCCGTTCAAGTCTTCACCCTTGTCATCAACTACTACATCTTTATTTCCTGAACCATCTTCTTTTTATTTTTACGATACTCCATCCACTGGTGCATCTTCATCTTCTTCCATTTATGCTGATTCTGTTGATTCATCAGTTGTTTCACCTGATACTTCTGAGTCTTCTTCTTCGAAATCTGTTTCTCCCATTATTCATCCTTCTCTTCATGAATCTGAGAACACTGGCAGACCATCACGCACCACTAGACCCCCACCTTATCTTTCAGACTATCACTGTTTTTTGCTGACACATTATTCACCGCCAGCAGTACCTTCCTCCACTTGCCATGATTTGTCTTCTTACCTATCCTATTCTAAACTTTCTCCTACCTATCGCCAGTTTGTCCTCTCTATTTCTACTGTTTCTGAGCCTACATCTTATACCCAAGCTATTAAATTTGATCATTGGCGTGAGGCTATGAAACTTGAGCTCGATGCTTTGTTGCGTACACGGACTTGGTCGATTTGCTCCCTTCCACCAGGCAAGAAACTGGTTGGTTGTAAATGGGTTTTCAAGACAAAGTTTAATGCGGATGGATCTGTTGAACGTCATAAAGCCCGCTTAGTCGCTAAGGGATATACGCAACTTGAAGGAGTCGATTTCCTCGAAACATTTAGTCCTGTTGCGAAAATGCCCACTGTGAGAATTTTTCTGGCTTTGGCAGCTGCGAATAACTGGATTCTCGATCAGATGGACGTCTCCAATGCATTCCTCAATGGCGACCTTGATGAAGAAATCTTCATGGTTTTGCCTCCAGGTTATGCGACACTTCAGGGGGAGAAGATTTCTCCTAATTCTGTTTGTCGGTTACAACGTTCGCTTTATGGTCTTCGACAAGCATCTCGTCAATGGAACCTAAAACTGACTCGGACATTGCTGCGGGCTGGTTTTGCTCAGTCCCAGGCAGACAATTCTCTGTTTACTAGGAAACAGGGTTCGCATTTTGTTGCTGTTCTCATCTATGTCGATGATTTGTTGGTTGCTGGTAATGATGCTACTCTAGTTTCTGATCTCAAAGCTACTCTTCGATCTGAATTCCAGATTAAAGATCTTGGACCAGTGCATTATTTCTTGGGTTTAGAGGTGGCTCGATCAAGTAAAGGCATTTTTCTTTGTCAAAGGAAGTATACTTTGGAGCTTTTGGAAGAATTCGGTATGTTGGGGTGTAAGCCTGTTGCAACCCCGATGGAGTATGGCTGTAAGATCAGTCAAGATTCTGGCGATTTACTGTCTGATCCAACACATTACAGGACTCTACTCGGGAAACTCATTTATCTTTCTTTGACTCGTCCTGATCTTGGTTTTGCAGTGACCAAACTTAGCCAGTACATGTCTAAACCGAGATCAGCTCATCTACAAGCGGCGTATCGAGTTCTACGTTATTTGAAGAATGCACCTGCCCAGGGTTTGTTGTACGCTTCTGATTCTTCTCTGCGATTGTCTGCTTATACTGACGCCGACTGGGCTTCTTGCCCGGACTCTCGGCGATCCGTTACAGGGTTCTCGGTCTTTCTGGGTAATGCTCTTGTCTCGTGGAAATCGAAGAAACAGCCTACGATTTCTCGAAGCTCGGCTGAATCCGAATACAGGGCAATGGCGCAGACAACTTGTGAGCTCGTGTGGATTGATGCCTTGCTTCGTGATCTGAACATTATTTGTCCCCGTCCCATTTCTCTGTTTTGTGATAACAAATCCGCGGTTCACATTGCAAATAACCCGGTATATCACGAACGTACGAAGCACATTGAGCTTGATTGTCACTTTGTTCGGGAACGTCTGAAATCCGGTTTTCTCAAGCCTATTCACGTGTCTTCGGCAGATCAAGTGGCGGATATTCTCACGAAACCTGTTTCAGTTGAGCTTTTCCGGCGAATGTTGCGCAAGATGGGAATCCACCAAGTGTATTCTCCATCTTGAGGGGGAGTATTAGACGTTAGTTACTTTGTTATGATCCTTGATTGTTATACAATCGGATCTGTTGCAGATTTCAGATTTATGTTTATCTCTTCCTAGTTTCTAGTATATCAGTTGTATTACTTCTGTATATATATCCTATACGTATGGGAGAATAAAGGAAGCCAAATATTTCTTTTGCCCATATCTCTGGAACTTCACACGGCTGGCGGTGGAAACCGGCAAGGACGTTCGAAACTCCGGCGAGACACGACGTGGATGGACTTACGAGGAACATAACTCCGGTGGTGGTCCGGCGAGGAAGCCACGATCATTGGATTGCTCATGAATAGGAACACGGCGAATATTATCGAAATATAGAAGAACAGAATGGATCTCATCTTTGTAATAATATGATTTCGATTCTTTATATACGTATATACGGATGTATGTATATATAGTAGTTGCAAGTCTTTCTTTACGCGTTTAGGGTTGGCTTTGTCAAAGGTCAACCATTTTGAGTGGAAATAATAAATGTTATCATAAATTCATAATTCTACCGGTTTTGTGCTTTGGTCAAACCAATGTTGCTTGCGTATATTAAAAGTTTGATAAATTATTTTAGCATTATTATAATTGTTATTATTATTATAATTATTGTTGTTGTTGTTATTGTTATTTTTACAACTTATCCAGATTCTAGATATCTTTGATTCAAATCCATTCAAAAAAAGTGAAATAATTTAACAAATACAAGTGACAAAAAATGATTCTCAATCTATTGCAAGAAATTCCTCTCAATTCAAACTTTATATTTCAAAATAAACATTTTTTTTAATTTTAAAACAATTATTTTAATTGTTTTATTTAATTCTAACCGAGTAACTCTACTGAGTTTGAAATACAATCTTATTTTATCAAAATAATCTAAAACAATGAGTTCAATTGATTTTAAATGGAATGTATCTCCCTCGAAACCTATCAAATATATATATATATATATATACAATATTTATTGTAAAAAATATGCATCTTTAAACACTAACCTAAAAGTGTCTTGTATCTTATTTGCATATTTATGAAAAGAGTATAATTTTTAATTATCAAAATTGAGATTCAAATGCCACACACACACACATATATACATACATACATATATATACATGCGTATGTATATATATAGAAAATTTACAAGAGGACAAGCAAGGTGTGACTTTATTTTCAAAATTGGAAGAGAGAAATGAGAGTGGACAACCTCTACTCACATCCCCTCCACCTACTCCTCACCAAACCCCATTCTTAGATACTTCCGAGTTCCGACAATTTCTTATTTATCCACTTTTGTCTTTTACTCCTTTCTTAAAAAATAATTTCCTAATTTTTCATGATATATATATATATATATAAGAAAAAATAATTTCCCAAGTTTTCATGATATATATATATACACATACATATATTATACCTTTTTTTGGGGTAAAAATTAGCATAGATATAAAAGCAATATGGAAAAGGGGCTATGCAATAATAGAAAAAAGAAAAAGCTAAATTCTTCCCCTATTTATATTTAAAAACAATAAGGAAAAGTGGTTATGCAATAATATATAAAAAAAGAAAAGCTAAATTCTTCTCTATATTTAAAAACTATGACCGATCAAGTCCCTGTTAATTATCTACAATAGTTATTGAAATTAGAAGTTTAATTATCCATTAATTAAGATTTAGAAAGAAAAACAACAATTTTTTTATCTAATACAAGATATACACCTACTTGAAACAGGTCATTATTCAAAATACCCTCCTTTTGCTAAAACTACTTCTGCACATACCCTCCTCCATATGTGATTGTTTTATCTAATACAAGATATACACCTACTTGAAACAGGTCATTATTCAAAATACCCTCCTTTTGCTAAAACTACTTCTGCACATACCCTCCTCCATATGTGATCATATGACCAGAATAACTGTGTGGTCACACGATGGTCACAATGGTCATAACGTTAAATTTAGGGTGATCACACAAAGTCACCATGATCACACCTTACATATCACACTAATCACTTGGTGAAATTATCAAAATTTTAACGTTGTGACCAATGTGACCATCATGTGACCATACAGTTATTTTGGTCACATGATCACATCCAGATGAGGGTATGTGCAGAAGTAAGTTTAGCAAAAGGAGGGTATTTTGGATATTTTGCCACTTGAAACACACGTTTTTTGTATTTTTTGAAGAGAACTACTTGGAACGGGTCATTATCCAAAATACCCTCCTTTTGCTAAAACTACTTCTGCACATACCCTCCTCCACATGTGACCATGTGACCAGAATAACTGTGTGGTCACACGATGGTCACAATGGTCATAACGTTAAATTTAGGGTGATCACACAAAGTCACCATGATCACACCTTACATATCACACTAATCACTTAGTGAAATTATCAAAATTTTAACGTTGTGACCAATGTGACCATCATGTGACCATACTGTTATTTTGGTTACATGATCACATCCAGAAGAAGGTATGTGCAGAAGTAAGTTTAGCAAAAAAGAGGGTATTTTGGATATTTTGCCACTTGGAAACACACGTTTTTTGTATTTTTTGAAGAGAAAATTTTCCTCTTTGTTTCATGTGTGTCATCATCATTACCACTCATGATGATGTTAACACCACACCAAACTCTTTAGTTTCCACTTCTTTTTCCTTTTTTCCTTTTACATTTCATTTACAACATTTCTTAATACAATAATTCTGTTAATTTCGTTTGTTTAATCACATTATGTTATATCTACATATTATATTTCTATGTATTCTGAAAAATGGTTTCCAAGACTCATCAAAGATGGAATTTTTAGACATTTTTTTTTAATTTTAGTAATGCCAAAAATTGAAATTAGCCATAAAACCCAGATAACTTACATACTAAGATTACTAATTTTAAAATTTTGAACAGATAAACACGAGTACAACATATATATATATATATATGTATGTATATATATTTGTAGAAAATGATAATGTTTCATCCAAAAGAGATACATCATCAAGGCTGGGAAATTGACAAAATTCAAAATTCTCCTAAAAAAACCCTGAAAGAATGATCTTTGTGTTGAAATCACTGCCTAATAATTAATTACTATTTGATATGAGTCTGAGCGAGTGGAAGAACCCTAAAAGGTCCCACATTTTTTTTTTTATGAAGTCCCACATTTATTTATGCTTCAGGTTCCCACCATTTTTCTTCTAATCAGATGACTTTTCTCATTTCTTCAGGTTTACCCAACAAAATGAAGTGGCCCTTGGCAAAAAGTTATGATCTTTACACGAATCAAGCCTCGAATCTGATCGTTTTGTTTCATCTGTAAACTGTAAAAATTCTTTTCTGAGTCATTATTATATTGTAATTGTTTTTCCTTGGGACACGAACCCAAATTCAAACTCTTGGTTTCGGGAATTTTACTCAAATGACCGAGTTGGGTCGCACCTATTTCACGTGTACCTTATAAAAAACATAACACTTTTTTTTCGTGTGAAAAGACGAAATTACCTTTAATGAATATGCGATTTTTATTCGTTCGAAAACAACTTCGTTATTACGATTTCGTAATTAATTCTAAATATAGTTACAATTGATTCTAAAAAAGGTGGCAAAAAAATCATCTGTCTTATTTTAGTGGTATATCAGTTATATGTTAGTCGTAATAAGGTCGCAAAAAATAAAACGAAAAGGATATTTCGGACTTTTCCAACCGAAAAGTGGATTAAAATTGAAATTTTTTTTTTTTTGGGTGGTGTACACAGAAATTGTTCGACCAAGTGGGTTATCTGACTAATATTCCCCTTGGTTTCTTTGCATCATTCAGTATAATCGCCGGAGTTTTCTAACTGTCGTTTCTGCTCCGTGGATTGGGCAAAAATGGCGCCTCCTGGACAGAGAACTGTCTGGGATTGCGTGAATGAGCAGACAAAGCTTGCTCAAGAAAAGGGCATTGACCCAATTCTTTGGGCGGCTCAGTTGTCGGCGAGCTTGAACGCGGCGTCGGAGCGGTCGGATTTACCGTCGTCGGAGGCGGCGGAGGCACTCGTCTCCTACATTTGTTGGGACAACAACGTCCCTATTCTCTGGAAGTTTCTGGAAAAGGCCATGACTTTGAAGCTCGTGCCTCCTTTGCTTGTTCTCGCCCTGCTCGCTGACAGGTTCCAAATCTCATTTTTTGCGCTTTTTCTACCAGAAATATTGTTTCTTTGCCCGTCCGGACACATGCGTCATGGGTCGTTTCCTGAAATCTGGGTCGTTTTGTTGTCCCTCATCGAAGTTGCCGCTGCTTCTCTGTTTAGCGTATTCGTTTAGAAATGGTGGCAAAAGGGGAAAGTCGATGACTTGAATTTGTTCAGGCTGTATGGAAAGAAGAATTTCAAACATGAATTTTGGGCTCTCTTACTGTATTTTGATATCTATTTTCCCGCGTTTCCATCTGCAGAGGGATCTCAGATTTGGTGTTTGTTGAAGATCTATTAGTTCTTGAGCGTCTGTAATCTTTTTTTTTTTAATCACTGATACTGGCAGAGTTCTTCCAAGTAGGCGTTCGCAACCGGCTGCTTATCGGCTTTTCCTGGAACTCCTCAAGAGACATGCTTTTTGCACTAGTGATCTTATTACAGATCCTCATTATCAAAAGTGAGTTATGTTTTTTATCCTTTTAGTACAGTTCCATTCAACTTTTGGTTCTGCTGACAATATTATCTAGCTTGTAACTACAGGGATTTGTTCAAAAAAGCTTCAATAGTTGATAAAATCTTTATCAATTGAGTTATGAGGCTTTTGTTTTTGTAATGGTAAATGGGTTTGGAGTGTTACTTCAACATGATTGTCAATCTTCTTTCCACAGGGCCATGAAATCAATAGACAGTGTTCTTCATCTTTCAGAGATTTTTGATCTGAAAACAAGTGAACCCGGTATACTTTTGGCAGAGTTCATCTTTGTGACGGTGTCACTATTGGTAGATGCATCCTTAAGCGACGAAGGTCTATCGGAGCTTAGCCAAGACCGGAAATCTAAATGGCTGATCGATTCTCGAGAAATGGAAATAGATGTGCACGAGAAGAGAACGGAATACCATGAGAAGCTGCAGAGTTTAAATACCGTCATGGGTATAGAGGTGATCATTGAGTTTCTGAGCAATAAAGTGACCTCTAGATTACTTCACTTGGTCCGCCAGAACATGTACGTTCTTTCTTACTCTGTCACCGTATTCACCGTCTACATTGAATTGGATCTTAATTTAGACCAAGTTGGTATGGTTCAGTGCCATTTCCTCACATAGAGTAAAGCTTTGCATTTGGCAGTTCTATTTCTGCAGATTCTCTTCACAAGTGACTTAAGACTGGTTTTCTTTTTGAACCTTTCCTCGAAAGGAAATACATTGTTCATCTTCCTTACCCGTTTTTTATTCTATTTGACAGGCCCTCACATTGGCAAGGGTTTGTGCACAGAGTACAGATACTTGTGGCGAATTCATCCGCCATGAAAAGCTCAAAGTTTCTTCCGGAAGTTCTTCTGCAGTTGATCTCGGATAGACGACCTGCACTTTCTCATGATGGCAAAGCAAATTCATTATCGAAATCCGACGTAATTCTGGATTTTGGATCGCTGGCTTCCTTCACTGGTTTATGTCACGGGGCAAGTCTCTCTACTCTCTGGCTCCCTCTTGATCTCGTACTCGAAGATGCTATGGATGGATATCAAGTGAGTGCAACAAGTGCTATTGAAATAATAACCGGTATCTTGCAGGCTTCATCTCCGTATATCTTTAGCTCGTAACCGAGTAGCGGGTATCTCCCATATGAATCGGTCAGGGTGGGGTAAAATTTTCAGGTCTGACTAAAACGCTCAAGGCGATTAACAGCAGTACTTGGCATGATACGTTCTTGGCCCTTTGGGTTGCAGCTCTCAGACTTGTTCAAAGGGTCGGACTTTCTTCCCCCACTGATTTCGGGTACTTGTCTGGTGAAAAGATAGTTTCTGAATATTCTGTTTCTCGTTCTTTACTGTTAGGAACGAGATCCTATTGAGGGACCTATTCCCCGACTGGACACAAGGCTCTGCATGTCGTTGTCTATTGTACCTCTTGTGGTTGCCAACCTTATAGAACATGAAGATATGCTACTGAAACAAGAAAACGGTTCTTCCACTAGCCGTTGGAAAGACAAGGAGATCATTAGGAGTCATAGGGCCGATCTTATTACGAGTTTGCAGGTCCTTGGTGACTTCCCAGGTTTGCTGGCTCCACCCAAGTGCGTTGTTTCTGCTGCCAATCAGGCAGCAACAAAAGCAATGTTGTTTGTGTCTGGCAGCGTCAATGTCGGGAATGCACATTTCGATGTCTTCAACATGAAAGATATGCCTGTCAGTTGCAGTAAGTTAATCGAAACCATGTTCTGGTTTGATTGGAGTGGAACTGATGTGATTTTTGTGGCATTGTCTTAGCTGGAAACATGCGCCATCTGATAGTTGAGGCTTGTATCACGAGGAACATGTTGGATACATCAGCCTACTCGTGGCCTGGCTATGTCGATGGCCGTATCAGCCAAATGCCTCACAGTTTACCAACCGAGATGCCTAGCTGGTCTTCGTTCCTGAACGGGTCCCCCCTTAACGCTGCAATGGTTAATGCATTGGTTTCACTCCCTGCTTCAAGGTAGAATGAACTTTCTCTCGTTTTCCCTTCCTTTCTCGATTAGTTGATTGCAGCATTGTGAATAGTTTGCCCTAATGCCGAAAAAGAGCTTGATTTCTAGCTCTGATGTGGTCATTCAGTTATTGTTTTCCATTTCTGAATCCGGGTATTCGTCTGATGCTATTCTTATTACTTACCGAGAGTAAAGCAACTGAGATTTAAGCTCATCGGTTTTTTGGAAGCTTAGCAGAGCTCGAGAAAATTTTCGAGATTGCAATCAAAGGATCGGAAG